AAATCCTTTAAGTCTTATGGATAAATAGTCTCAAGTCAAAGAATTTCTTAAAATAGAAAAATACAACATTATAAATATGGCACAATCAGCTGACCAATTTATTAGTACAGCGTCACGACTCATTCGTGAGTATGACGGAACTGCATGCAATCTACAAAGTTTCCTTGACGGCATCGAAATGGTCGATGAATTAAAAGGAGAACATGAAAGATTGGCAGTCACTTTAATAAAAACTAAATTAAAAGACACAGCTAGACAAATAATAACCACTGAAAACTCAATATTAGCAATAATAAATACATTAAAGACAAATATTAAAGGAGAGTCAGTTGCAGTTTTAACTGCTAAATTAATGAATCTCCAACAGAAAAACAAAACTGCCAACCAATACACTAAAGAGGTTGAGCAATTAACTACAGCAATTCAAGGTGCTTACATTTCAGATGGGATACCACCAAAGATAGTTATACAATATTCAACTAAGGCATCAGTGGATGCAATGGTTAAAAATTGTACACTCCCTGAAGTCAGATTAATTATGAAGTCGGGCCAATTTAATAATTTGAACGATGCAGTACAAAAATTTGTAGAAAGCTGCACGGTTGCTACTGGCCGGACAGACACTGTTCTATTCACACAGCGTCAAAATATAAATAATTATCGAGGAAACAATCGCGTAAATGGAAATTTCAGAGGTAGAGGATATTACCGAAATAATAACTACAATAGGCAGAGACAATACAATAACTCTAATCAATATGGAAATCAACGAGGACGCGGAAATAACCGTAGAATCCAACATAATGTTAGAATAACTAGTACTAACCAAAACAGTATTGGTTCGGAAAACCTGAACCAGCCTCTGAGAGATTAAAGCATAACACAATATATAGTTTAAACCTTAACCTGGGCGTGTTTGTTAATTTTTTTAATAATTCCACTAATAAATTACTAACGTTATTAGTAGATACATATGAGATAAATATGAGGTAAATAAATTTGAAGTAACAACTCTCAGCGGTATAGGCCAAGATTCGATCCAATCATTGGGTCTTACACAGTTAGATCTTAGAATTGAAAATATTTTCGTAATGCATAAATTTTATGCAGTACAAGATGATTTTCCTATACTATGCGATGGAATCATTGGCATGGACTTTCTAATAAAATTTAATTGTAAACTCGATTTAATGCAAAATAAAGAATGGCTCGTTTTACGACCAAAATGTTTTCCACAGCATATTGCCATACCAATTAAAAACACTTGTGAAAATGATTTTATCATGTTACCAGCAAGATCTCAAGTAATTAGGAGAGTATACCTCAGCGCAGAACAGGAACATTTATTGGTGCCAAACCAAGAATTACAACCTGGTGTGTTTATTGGAAACACTATAGTTCAAGGTAATAATGCGTTTATAAGGATACTCAACACAAATAGTTCAGTTACAGCTTTAAAAATTAACAATATAAAAACTGAAAAAATTTCAAATTATGACATATTACAACCAAAAGATACTTCATACCATAGAACTAAAGAAATTATAAGTAGATTATCAAAAAATTTCCCTAGTAAATTTAGCGACAAATTAACGACACTCTGTACAAATTACAGTGATATATTCGGTTTAGAAAATGAACAAATTTCTGTAAATAATTTCTACAAACAGCGTTTAAGGTTAAGCGATAAAACACCAAGCTACATAAAAAACTATAGAATCATCAACATCATCAACATACTAGAATCATCAATGTCAAACTACAATAGTCCTTTGTTATTAGTACCTAAAAAGTCATTACCCGGTTCAAATGAGAAAAGATGGCGGTTAGTAGTGGACTACCGTCAAATAAATAAAAAATTGATTGCAGACAAATTTCCTCTTCCAAGAATAGAAGACATTCTTGATCAATTGGGAAGAGCTAAATATTTTTCATGTCTTGACCTAATGTCTGGATTCCATCAAATAAAGCCACACGAATCTTCAAGAGATATTACATCCTTCTCTACAGAAAATGGCTCTTATCGTTTCAAACGATTCCCGTATGGACTGAAAATTGCTCCAAATTCTTTTCAACGTATGATGATTCTTGCGTTTTCTGGTTTAACACCATTTCAAGCATTTTTATATATGGATGATTTAGTTGTACTCGGATGTTCTGAAAAAAATATGTTTAAAATTTTGACAGATGTTTTCGAACTATGTCGGAAGTACTATCTTAAACTACATCCTGACAAATGCACATTTTTCATGCATGAGGTTACATATCTCGGTCATAAATGCACTAACAAAGACATCCTTCCGGATGACAGTAAACACACAGCAATCAGAGACTACCCAGTACCGACTGATGCTGATGGAGCACGACGATTTGTTGCTTTTTGTAACTACTACAGAAGATTCATAAAAAATTTTTCTGATTATTCTCGACATATAATGAGATTAACAAAAAAGAACGTTCCATTTCAATGGACACAAGATTGCCAAAAAGCATTTCATTATCTAAAAAATGAACTTATGAATCCAACTATTTTACAGTATCCAGATCTTAAAAAACCATTCTGTATCACTACTGATGCAAGCAAGCATGCTTGTGGTGCAGTACTCAGCCAAGAGCATGATGGTAGACAACTTCCAGTCTCCTACAATTCAAAAACTTTTACTCAAGAAGAAGAAAGTCAACCATTGAACAAGAACTTACTGCAATTCATTGGGCTATAACACATTTTAGACCATATATATATGGTACACATTTCTTAATTAAGACCGACCATCGCCCATTAACCTACCTTTTCTCAATGAAAAACCCGAGTTCAAAACTAACTCGAATGAGATTAGATCTCGAAGAATACGATTTCACAGTGGATTATCTCAGAGGCAAAGAAAATTAAATTGCCGATGCTCTATCGAGAATATCGAGAATAACGATAGACGATTTTAAAGATATGAATGAAAAATCTATAAAGATTCTCAAAATGAGAACTCGATCAACCACCAAACAAAATAAAGAAATAAATACCCTCGACCAACAATTAAAGTACGAAAAGCCCCATATATACGAAGTCATTAATAGTACTTGTAGTAACTTCGCTAGTTACACATAAATACAGTTCTATATTATTTTGCATCACTTTATTTATCTAATTACAATACAACACACTAATTGTTAATCTTACACCAAACGCTTATCTTGCCGCCCTTTTTCTGACAGCTGCTCTTCTCTTGTCCCGTGTTGTACAGCGTACGTTTACTACCAGTGTTGTACTACGTCCGTTTACTACAGTACTGACGTCAGAAAACAAATAAAATTAAAATTGACTTCCAACCATTGTTATTTAAAACGTGGAAATAGAATTATTGAAAAAATAATAATTGATGATCTGTTTGTCAATGAGAAAATTGATTTAAAACAATTATTCTCAAGGTTAGAGAAATTAACCTGCAAACGTCGCATCAACAAAGTACAAATGGCACCTAGTGAGAAAATTTTCGAATTTGTCTCAGTAAATGAATTTAAGGCCAAAGGCAATAAATTATTGAAAAATTTAACAGTAGCGCTACTGCCAAAGGTGACGAAACTGGTAAAAGAGGAAGAAAGAAGAAAAATTTTAAAAAATTATCATGATGACCCAGTGGAAGGTGGACACTACGGAATAACAAAAACATTACAAAAAATTAAAAGACATTTCTATTGGCCAAACATGACCAAAGATATATCAAGATATATAAAATCATGTCAGAAATGTCAAAAATCAAAAATTCATAATCATACAAAATTACCAATGACAATAACTGATACGCCAACAGGCTCTTTTGACACAGTATTGGTAGATATCATCGGCCCCTTACCTAAAACTGATAATGGCAATGAGTATGCTGTCACACTTATATGTAATTTAACAAAATACTTAGTAACTATCCCAATACCAAATAAAAGTGCAAATACTGTAGCCAAGGCAATTTTTGAACATTTTAAACTTTTGTACGGTCCAATGAAGACGTTCATTACGGACGTGGGTACAGAGTACAAAAATTCTTTAATAACGGATATATGCAAATACTTAAAAATAAAAAATATAACATCAAAAGCTCATCACCACCAAACACTCGGAACTGTAGAACGTAGTGACCGAACATTTAATGAATATGTACGTTCATACATATCAGTCGATAAAAACGACTGGGATATATGGTTAAAATACTTCACATATTGTTTCAATACAACCCCATCAGTGGTGCATGGATATTGTCCATATGAGCTTGTTTTTGGAAAAATTCCTAAAGGTTTTAATAAATTTAATACAATTAGTGACGTAAGTCCATTATATAATATAGATGACTATAGTAAAGAAATTAAATATAGATTAGAAATAGCGTACACTACACTCAGAAAAAAAAGAACACGATGAGTGAGAAAAGCGTCATAAATTCGATGAATTATTTCATAAAAAACTCTCCAATGACGAGTTTCATAAAATTTGAGAAAACTTTTTCATAAAGTTTCACGATGTGCATAGGTGTGAAATAGTTTCATAAAATTATTGAAATAGTTTCATAAAATTATTGAAATAGTTTCATAAAATTATTGAAATGGTTTCATAAAATTATTGAAATAGTTTCATAAAATTATTGAAATAGTTTCATAAAATTATTGAAATACTTTCGCAAAATTCTTTGAAATAATTTCATAAAAAATATATTATAAAATATTTTTCAAAAAAAATTCACGAAGCGAACATGCGTGAAAAAGTTGCATAGATTAATTGAAATTGTATCATAAAAAATCTTCAGCAAATGTTTATTATTTCAAATGTTTATTAATTTGTTCATTAATTTAATTTGTACATTAATTAATACTTAAATTAGTGCATTAATTCAGCTTTTAGAATGCTGGCCTTTGGGGAGTTTTTAGAATTTTTATACGATATTTCATAAAAATAAATTTCAATAAATTTCCAAAAGTGATTCGATGCTTCCGGATATTTGAGATTAAATATATATTTATATATTTAGGTTTCGACTTTTTTGAAAAGAGATGAATTGTTCCAATTGTTGCACGCTTTGGCCAACGAAGCATACCAACTCTTGTGAGTCTTTTATAGTAAATCTTCGTGTTATTTTTTTGCCGGTGTTGTCTTTTTGTACCACGCGCCCAGTTGGAAATAAATATTCATGAAGACACCAAAGAGTTGTGAAAATATAGGACGTGTCTCCTAAAAATAGAAGAAATAAGATTCATTTTCAAACATAACTGTTATTATTATTTATTTTACTAACCTTTAGCAACAACATCGTCGGTTAGCTTTTTTAGAAGCACACTACAATTGGAATCTTTCAAAGTATTTGGCTTAGAAAAGAAGTCGTACAATTTTTTCATTTTCGGCTCAAAGATATCAAGAATATCGTTAGCAGATGAATACAAATGTTTAAAATCTAAATCAATCTGTAAAAAGAAATATTACAAGACAGAATTATATATTTGTATTCCTTTTATATTACTAGTCTGTATCCCGTTGGCTTCTTATACTCTGGCCAAAGCTTAAAAATATCTGATAAACTTAAACAATCATTGACAATTTTTTCCAGTCTGCTAGAAGAAGATAGTTGCCATAGCTCATTTAACTCACTTGCATCTACATTCTCGTACCTAAGACGTTTAACGGCATCTGCTGCAACATCTTTAAAACAAAAAATATATATTAAATGGACAACGCCTGATTGGTAAAGTGTATATATATATATAAATTTTAACAACTAAATCTCACCTTCATATATGACTTTTGAGCCATCGTGGCTTTCTGGTGCAGATTGTTTTTTCTCTATATTTTTCAGCGACTGCCTTAAATAACAAAATCTGGAGTAAATTTTTCCTCTTCTGTCGCATCTGTAATATTCCAGCTTCTCCGTAGGAAACATCAAAAGTATCTGTTGCTCAAGTTTATAGCTAATTTTAAGAGTCATGGCACGAGAAATATTAAAAAAATAATTGGCAATAGCAGATATTAATAAATTTCTATGCTCCTCGTCTAAGCACTGCTTTCTTTCATAAACTGATTGTATGGCTGTAGCTTTGCGATCATATTTCAAGATATCATGAATAGATATGTCTTCGCAGTCAGGAGATGGTGGATTCAATAAATTGAACGGTGCAGAAAAGTGGCTGATGGTAGAAGGTGTTGTTGAAGTACTATTATCGTTATCCTGCTGTACGTATGGACAGTGGCATACTCCTTCCAAAACATCATGCATTGCATCTACTGCTTTATTTTCAATAACAGTAAAAGAAGGGATTCTTTCAAAAACACATTCCTCCAAAATACCAGTAGATTTTGGCTGACATAAATTCAAATCATGTTTATAATTTTCGTTGGTTCTTAATATATGTGAATTTTCACTTATTGTGAACTTACTCATGTTTTTATCTATTTTACAAAACCGGCAAAAGACACCGTTAAATGATTTAGTAAATCCTAAAACGCTATTTAGAGCTAAGTTATCTCCTAACACAAGAAGTAGAATTGGGTATACAACAAATTGTGACTGATTCGAGGTATTTAAATTTATGCCTTTCAGTTCCAGTTGAATCATTTCATCAACCAAAGCACTTAAACAAACATTGTTGCCATATGTTTTTAAATCTTGAGATTTAATACATGCTGCTAGGAAAATATTATTTAAGTTGGTTTCCCGAAATGGTGTGCATGGAAATGCATAATAAACATTACAAATGGAATCTTTGGATGCATGAGAGCCCAATGGATTATTTAATTCTAAATCATCAATAAACAGAAAGTAAGGTATTAACACTTTTTCAGGATATAATTCACATTTTTTCTTCCATAATGAACTTTGAACAATGTTTGTAAAATTATGGCTATCTTTTAGTTTCTTTATTTCGGCCAACATCTCTGACAAATAATTGTCTTTTTCTAGTATTTTCTTCATAGTATCATGTAAGGGTAACATTGCCATTTTGGACGATTTTCCGCTTAATTTCAGTACGCCTTTTTGATGAACTAAAGTTTCTTTTTCATTAATAACAACTTCATGCAAATTATCAACAAGATTATTTTTTTTTTAGCTTTGAAAAAGCATATGTTCTGATTTACACCACTCAAATATGTTTACATATTTGAACACCGCACTCAAAAATTCTCCCTTAAGTTCCAAGTTACTTAATAATTTTGAATTGATCATTTCAGTAAATGTTGCTAATATTGGCGTTAATAGCAAATTCTGTATGGATTCTTGAATGTCTATGACATCTATGCGGGTTAGGTTTGATTTAGCGTATAAATTCAGAACGAATTTTAAAACATTTTCTCGAAAGTCCAACTGAGTAATGTTATTATTATTATTTTCACGTTCTGCTTCGTCAAAATTTAAATCTGCAATTTCACAATTGCTATCATTTTTTTGTGATAAATGCGACGCAGCAACATTATTCGTTGTTGCAGTAGTAATAGCTGTTGTTGTTATTGTTGCTTTTGTTGTTGTCAGTTTGCGTGGTGATGTAGCCGCAGACTTTTTCTTTTTATTGGCGCCATGCCTTAATAGATGACGCTTATAGCTGAAAGTGCGCCCAAAAACTTGTCCACAATGCAAGCAACGATAATCATCAAATTGCTTTAATTTGTGCTGAATTTTTAAATGTAATAATAATTTCTCCACGTTAATTAATTTATGTTTGCACAAAAAACACTTTTCCATTTTTTAAATTGTTTATTTATAAAAAATTTTACCGATAATAAAACGCACAGAAAACTGCCACTTAACACGACAGCGCATAGAATCAGACTGAGTTTGCTCAGCTGCTCTAAATGAGAACGTAATAGGCAATTAAAAAAGGAAAAGAGAAAGAGAAAGAATATGCAAACTTTCAAAATTTCTGTCAAAACAGTGCACAGCAATCAAAATTTTATGAATATTTTCTGAATTCTTTCATAAAATTTAAGAAAAGCTTCATACACAAATCAATTATTATCTTAGAATATATATTTCATAGATTCTTTGAATTTTTTCACATGCACCATGAAAAATTCACGAACATTATTTTATGACAGCCTGTTCACAAAATCTATGAAATTTTTCACACAACAATAATTGGTTTAAGAAAAATTACATATATTCTATGTAGTTTTTCTGAAATTTTATGAAAAATACGATATGAACTTTTATGAAATCTTTTCGTAAAATATCGTGTACAAATTTGGTTCAGTGTAGAGCCAAAACACTTTTAGATAAGTCTAAATTAAAACAAAAGTTGCTCTATGATAGAAATAGTGAACAATTAGAATTAAATATAGGAGATAAAGTACTATTTAGGAATGAAGTAGGTCATAAGCTAGAAAGTCAATACACGGGTCCCTATAGAATAGAAAGTAAAGAAAACAACGGAAACATTGAAATAAGAAACAATAAAAATAAGAAACAGTTAGTACATACTAATAGAAACAAATTGTATAATGAATAAGTTACAATAAATGTAGTGACTATACAAATAAATATAACTAAACTAAATTTAATTATATAAAATTATTGAAAATTAATACTTTATTTAAAAAATTAAGAATAATCCAGTTATGGCATTATTCTTTCCCAAAAAGGAGGTGTAATGTATATGCGTTAGTTATATTGGCAATGTATACAATTAATATAATAATAAGTGGTTCTATATTTAAATGCGCAGTGTATATAAAAATACACTAATTGTTTCCAAGCGCATTGCATTGTTTACAAACAAATGCATAATTCCACACAAGGAATTTGACACCACACATATCGGCGGCACTTTGCCTTCGAGTTAACCATATGCTTGCCAGGCATTGACCGCATATACAACAACATCAACAGTAAGCGTACCCGATAACAGTGGAATCGTAGACGCTTACTTAGCAATAAATTATTAAATAGTAAAGTACTTACGCTGCGCCGTTTTGTACTTAAAAAAAAATACATATAAAATATTAAAATAAATAATAGCAAAATATATATATAAATATAAAATATTTAGTAAATAAGAAAGTACATACACTGCGTCGTTATATACCTAGGTTAAGTCGAAAGTAAAGATTAAAATAAAAATCAGAACTAGAAATGCACTCATAAGAAGCGCACCAAGTTCTCAACTAAAACAAAACTTCTTTTTATTTAAAGTAAAAATATATGTTAAAAGAAGGAACGCCAAATCATATCGGCGATTAAATATCCTTCAAAGATTTAACATTTTTACATTATATACAAATTTGATGATTTGATGAAAATACAATAGCTAAACTTGATACATAATCAAAATATGAAATTTACAATTTATTCTTAAATTAATAAAATGCAAAATATGCGTTACTATACAATAATATTGACATTACACTCGTAAATTTTTGCTACTGTCGTACTTAATAAGGCCAAATACTTTCGATAGTGCACTGACCACCAAAGTGCTGATAATGCTTTTTCGATCAATGACCTACAAACCGTTGGCCTAAAATAAAACAAATAGAACGTGCAAGCAAGTAGTTATTGCAAATGATTTAACAAATGATTACAAAATATATTTATAAACAAAATATATAAATAAAAAATTTACTATTGAAAGATAATGATATAATTATTAAGGTCTAAGCCTTAACAAATATTTTAGAATAAATAATTTGTTCATTCTTATTATTAAATATTTTTTCATTATTATATATATCAAAACTTACTTGAAAAGATTCTTTGAGATCAATATCAATTTCTATTTTTAAAATAAATCCTTAAATATTTAATATTAATCAAAAACAAATTTTAAATGCTACCCATACGAAATGCTTAATATCACTAAATACATTTTTGGATTAACTTTTTTCTTATGTATAAGAAAGATGACAACATTGAAAATACACCCAACTCTCTTTTAGCACGGTAGATGCGTTCCTTGCAAAACCGTGTAAAAAAAATCGTATGAAAAATGTATATGCTAAATGGTAAATTTGGGGATATGTTCCACAACTTAAAAAAGTCGTGTAAGACGAAAACATTCGAAATATTTTTCCATAAAATCGTGTAAAAAAATTTATAAAATAAATCCATATTAATTAAAAAAGAAATGTCAAATTGGCAAAAATGTCAAATTGGTAACTGTTTCTTTTAGTTGTTAAAAAATCTGTTAATAGGTGATGTTTTTTTGGTTTTTTAAGTTGTTTATACAATTCTTCATATCCATCTATACAACAGTTAAGATTGCGTGTAAATTGTAATGCACGCTTCATGTCAGAATCATAAATTAAAAAATGTTGCTCCATACTTTTTGCAAATTTTAAGCCCTAGTTTAATTCACGAAACAGAAGTATTTTGTATTTAATTTTGAACCGTGTTATTTCAAAATCGTGTAAGAAAAAGACCGTGTAAAAAGAGAGTTGGGTGTACCATATAGTAAAAGTGCAACATAAATATTAGTTAAACCAAATGCTTGACTAACGTAGTTCGGCTTCGATAGGTCACAACTCCACAAAACTGTGCTCGTTCACTTCTAATCACACATTCGTAATCAAAATTATGGGGAAATTAATTAAATAAATAAAACGTGGTGAAATTAAAATTAAAAGTATTATTAACTGGCGAACGAACTAAAAAACCTAGTAATATTTAAAAAAAAATTAATGAAACTCAAAACCAACATGTAAAGAACAATTATTTGCTTTGTACAAATTCTTTTTTTTGTGATTTTAAAGTGTGTTTAATGTGTGTATAATGTGTGCCATCAGATTTTTTAGTAGCGTATACAACAATATTATTCCTCAAGGGATTGTAAGGATGGAAATTTTTATTAATTTTTAACCTACATACAACCAGTATAAAGTGGATATCTGCAATAAAAAAGAACTGATTAATCTTTTATTGTTATTATTAAAAGTAAATAACTTACCATAAACCCACCCCCGCATGCATGTAACTGCACCACATGAATAAACCTAAGATTACATCGAAAATGCAAGGAATATAAAATATATTTAAACAAATAAATAACACCTCACCTTATTTATTTATTATTTATATAAAGAGGTTTTCGAACAGAAGTGAAACAACAACAAAAATTTATTTTTTAAATTATTTTAATAAATTGAATTTTTGGCTGACCATACAGCTGTTTCGAGTATTGCCAAATACCCTTCATCAGTGGTCTTGGAAATAATTCTTGTATTTAATTATTCGTAAATAATTATTTTTGAGACTGCAAGTACCAGGAATCGAACTCGGGTCCTGCCAAATGTGAAGCTCAGAATCAGCGCAGCTTAACCAACTGATCCAAAGCCGTATTTGACTTTTTTGTTCGGATATTTTTGCTGGCGTTTTTTTTTTAACAATTTTACTTGCTGTGTTTATATTAGAACGAAATCATAAACCAGCTGTAGAATAATTGAATTAATTATACTTTTTTTTATTTTTAATTGTTAAATTTCAATACTTTTCTGTTCGTAGAGGCATTATTTGTTGCATGATTTGTTCTTTCTTATGTATAGAACCTAATCTAGGAACGTGATGCTGAGAAAGTCATGCTAATGTTACTCCACTAGTCGCACGGGCGAGACCAATATTTTGTGAATATAAGTTGTAATTTAACTTCAAATTTTCCAGACGAAAGTGACTATTATATTTTAATAGAAACTTATTACATTTCATAAAGAGGTTTTTCGAACAGTAGTAAACTACAACAACAGAAATTTATTTTTTATTTTAATTAATTGAATTTCGGCTGACCATACAGCTGTTTCGAGTATTGCCAAACCCTTCATCAGTGGTCTTGAAAATAATTCTTATATTTAATTATTCGTAAATAATTATTTTTGAGACTGCAAGTACCAGGAATCGAACTCGGGTCCTGCCAAATATGAAGCTCAGAATCAGCGCACCTTTACCAACTGATCCAAAGCCGTACTTGACTTTTTATGTTCGCATATTTTGCTGGAGTTTTGTTACTTTTGCTATGAAAGTTTTTATTAACAATTTTACTTGCTGTATTTATATATTTATAACGAAATCATAAACCAGCTGTAGAATAATTGAATTAATTAATTAATTGTATTTTTTATTTTTAATTGCTAAATTTCAAAACTATTCTATTCGTAGAGGCATTATTTGTTGCATGATTTGTTCTTTCTTATGTATAGAACCTAATCTAGGAACGTAATGCTGAGAAAGTCATGCTAATGTTACTCCACTAGTCGCACGGGCGAGAACCAATATTTATTGGCGAGAACCATATTTTTGTGAATAAGTTGTAATTTAACGTCAAATTTTCCAGAC